GCGCCATTGCATTCCAGCCTGGGCAACAAGAACGAAACTCCGTCTCAAAAACAAAAAAGTTAAAAATTAAATTAGCTGGGCGTGGTGGCGCATGTCTGTAGTCCCATCTGCTTGGGAAGATGAGGTGGGAGGATCCCTTGAGCCCAGGAGTCGGAGGCCGAAGTGAGCTATGTTGTGCTACTGCACTGCAGCCTGGGCAACACAGCAAGACCCTATCTCTAAGGGAAAAAAAATGTCATATGAGGCCAATTATTGTCACCGTGTTAAGGCCCTTTATAAAAAGCTAAGACTGGGCCAGGCACAGTGGCTCACCCCTGTAATCCCAGCACTTTGGGAGGCTGAGATGGGCGGATCACTTGAAGTCAGGAGTTTGAGACTAGCCTGGCCAACATGGTGAAAACCCGTCTCTACTAAAAATACAAACATTAGCCGGTATGCTGGCATGTGCCTGTAATCCCAGCTACTCGAGAGACTGAGGCAGGAGAATCGCTTGAACCTGGGAGACACAGGTTGTAGTGAGCCGAGATCATGCCATTGCACTCCAGCCTGGGCGACAAGAGCAAAACTCCATCTCAAAAAAAAAAAAAAAAAAAGAAAAGAAAGTGAAGTACAGAGAGGTATAGTCACTTTCACCCTTTCACCAACACAGAGCTGGGGAGTGGCAGAGCTGGGATTTTAACTTGGGGACCCAGCCCTGAGCCTGTGATCTCAAGTCCTGCCATCACACCCATCGGCTTCAGTCTAATGTCCAACTCAGGGGCTGCCTCTCAAGGTGAGCCCTCCCTGAACCTTCTGGCCCCCACATACCCACTCCTGATCTGCCCCAGGCTCGTCTCTGGCTATTGGGTGGGGCAGCAAAAGAGTCCCCTCCTCACCAGGGTGGGGTAAGGCAGAAAGCCCCCAACAGCCAGGCCCAGAGCACTCTGTGGGAAGTCCCCTGCCAGCCCGGCCTGGCTTGGGGAGGGTCTTACCTCCTCATGTGCTCGTTGGCTACTCCTTGGATGTAAACAGACATTCCCACGCTGAGCCCGCCCGGGATGGGCTTGTAGTAAGGCAGTGTCTGGAGAAGAGGCCTGGTGAGGGGACTCACAAGCCATCTGCCTGTTGCAGCCTTTACCCCTCCCGGAAAAGCCCCCCAGTCCCTTAAGCAGGGGAGAGGAAACCACGGGTGAGGACCAGGTTGAAGATGACGAGGGCCGACAGTTAGACGTGGACACAGACAGCCTGAGGTCAGGGTGGGAGTAAATTGAGGGTCTGGGTCGGCTTTGGGTAAATCAAACCACAGAGTTAGATGGGCCCCCCCAGGATCAGGGGAGGGAAAATTGGTGTGAGGGCTTATGGATGGAGCTGCGAGCAGGGTGGGGCCTGAGTCGGCGTCTCACCGGGTTGTAGGTGGGCTGGTAGCCCGGTGCGGGGACATAGGCCATCGCTCGAGGTTGCGCTAGTGGCTGGTCCTGTGAGAAGAGCTGCAGGAGTGGGAGATGGTGGCGAATGGCAGGCGGTGGTGGCTCTTATACCCAGGGTAAGGGCGTGGCTGGCAGGGGAGGATCCATAGGGCTTGTCTTCTGGGACTGTCAGGCTGTCGGCTTCTCCTAGAGCGCACCCCAGTCTCCCTTCCCTTGCCAGCTTACCTGGTGACCAGCCAGGACCCAAATCACCTGGGTCCCCTCCCCTATCCCCCCTGCAAAGAGGAAGTGCTGATGAACTTTGGCCCTGCCAGGGCCTTATCAGAGTCCATAAAACCCTGCCCAGAATTCTGTTGGCAGAGGGAGGGTAAGAACAGGCAGGGCAGGGTGGGGCTGCAGGAGTGACCCAGGACAGGTGGGCAGCGGAGGAGGAGAACTCAGAGGAACTGCAAATTCCTGCCTCTCCCAGCAACTGTGAAGGGACCTACATTGATTACGTGCCCACCACACGGCTCTACCACATACGTTGTAGTGTAGTGAGAGTGGTTTAGATTACTAGTGTGTGGAGCCAGAGGTTCTGGGTTCAAATCCTGCCTTTGCCACTTCTCAGCTGTCTGATCCTGGGTCAGTGCCTTACCCTCAATTTGCCCATATGCTTATCTGTAAAATGGGGATAGTAGTAGTATCAGCTGGGTGCAGTGGCTCATGCCTGTAATCCCAGCACTTTGGTTGGCTGAGGTGGGTGGATCATCTGATGTCAGGAGACCAGCCTGGTGAAATTCCAGTCTCTACTAAAAATACAAAAATTAGCCAGGCATGGTGGTGGGCACCTATGATCCCAGCTATTTGGAGGCTGAGGCAGGAGAATCGCTTGAACCTGATGGTGGAGATTGCAGTGAGCCGAGATCATGCCACTGCACTCCAGCCTAGGTGACAGAGGGACACTGTATCAAAAAAAAAAAAAATTATAACAGAGGAAACAAGCATTGAATAGCTTTCAAAATTTTTTTTTTTTTTTTTTTTTTTTTTTTTTT